ATTTATTTGATCCAAAATGCACCAAAAGCAGTAACATTTTGAAATATTTGTACTATTTAATATATCTGTTTTCTATGTGAATCTCTGTTAAACTGTAATGTATTTCTGTGATGTGCAGCTGTATTTTCAGCATCATTCCTCCAGTCTTCAGTGTCACATGATCTTCAGAAATCAGTATAATATGCTGATCTGCTGATTATCAATATTTAAAACAGTTGAGTAAATTTTTTCAGGATTCTTTGATGAATAGAAAGATCCAAAGATCAGCATTTATCTGAAATAAAAAGCTTTTGTAACATTATACACTCTACCATTCAAAAGCTCTTTTAAAATGTATATTATAGAAATTATTACTTTCATTTAGCAAGGATGTTTTAAATTGATCAAAAGTGATACTTATATAAAACGTTTCTATGAAATACAATTTCTGATCTTCTGAACTTTCTATTCATCAAAGAAACTTGAAAAAGATCTACTCCGCTGTTTTCAACATCATAATAATAAATGTTTTTTGAGCAGCAAATCAGAATATTAGAATGATTTCTGAAGATCATGTGACTGGAGTAACGATGCTAAAGCTCTGCTTTGAAATCACAGGAATACATTATATTTTCAAATAGAAAGCAGTTATTTTAAATAGTAATAATATTTCAGAATGTTACTGTTTTTGCTGTATTTTGGATCAAATAAATGCAGGCTTGGTGAGCAGAAGATAATTCTTTAAAAAACATTAAAAATCTTACTGTTCAGAAACTTCTGACTGTATGTTAGCCTATAGTTTGATGTTAAAGATATTAATATTAATATTAATAAGGAGAGTCTGAGATTTATTTGACAGTGATTTCACATTTCTTGTTTGTATGAAGGTTAAATACCAATAAAAGGTGAACATTTATTTATTTGCGCCATTTTTTTCCTAAAATATGATATAGTTTTATAGGAGTAGGTTTCATAGAGTTGGCAAATTAATTTTTCATAAGTTTGTAGGTACAGACATCTGTTGTGGCCGTTCTTGGCCGTTTTTATGAGGCTTTTTTAATAGTGTTCATATCGATATCGGAATTATATCGTATCGACCGAAATTAAGAAATATATTGTGATATAAATGTTGGCCATATCGTCCAGCCCTAGAGTCAAACTACTCAGAGTCGACTGAACTAACTCAATTCAGCTGTTCTTAAACCAAAAACTCATCCCATCTCAGGGTAAGTCAACTCAGAGTTTAAGCTTTAACTCGCATTTGAACCTCCTTATGGAAATGAGCCCCTGGTCTCTGTGAATACAGTCAGAGAAAACTGTAGCTTTAGCCACGTTAGCCATGCCAACAATCACAAACTGTCCAAAACAGTGTGTTTTTGCTCACACCCAAAAAGGGTAATATAATAAATGATCTGTGGGGTATTTTGAGCTGAAACTTCACAGACACATTCTGGGGACACCAGAGACTCTTATTACGTCTCGTATAAAGTGGCATAATAGGTGCCCTTTAAATTAAGTGTTTTTTGTTTTTTTTAAACGGTGTGATTAATTTTTGTAATCATTTGTAATCACAGGACCGCCCGCTCCACCATCCTCATTGTTTTTGTGTGTTTTTTTAACCATGTCTATTGAGAGTTTCTCAGTGATACTTAATTTAACAATTGTTCATAACAGCTGCTTCATGGTTAAATCAATATTGCTTTGCCGTTTTGTTATAAACACAGTTTTGTGTGTTTTATATAGTGTTAGTAAACATGCACAAGTTAAATCTATTAAAGATTTTAATTGCATCCCTGTAAAAAATCCCTATAAAGTGGATTGATGGGCAGAGTTTCACTCAATGCTTTGGTGTATTAAAACAGGAGGTCCATACAGGACATATCAAAAATGTGTCAGAAAACATGCAGATTCTGTCAGAAAATGTTTGTTTTGCCAGTTTTATCACCCAAAACCAATGAGCAGTTTTATCACCCAAAACCAGTCAAAATGTTTTTTTTTGTCTGGTACCCCAAACCTAAAAGCACTTTAGTTTGTCTGATACACAGAACTGTATTAACAGTCTTCTGTCAGCCCAAGAGGCAGACAGAGGAAGCTGGGAAAGATCATAAAATAAGAGACACATTGATAATAATGAGCAGGATTTATTGAATAATATTAGCTGTGACTCTTTCAATGCTCAGTCAGACCTTGTCGACTTCATCCAAACTTCTTCTCAACCTCGTCTGAACTTTGTCTGACCAGCACACATACAAAACACATTATTATATCAAAGCAAAAACAGTGTAAAATTACTGCTTCACAATATCCTCCTATGACCTTGAAATGCAGACATTCTCTTATCTCTAACTCCACAATCATACAGTTAAACAATGACAAGAATTACAAGAGCAAGGAAAATAATAAGAAATATAAAATATACAAATCTAATAAAAATGAGTACATGGTGAAATGATAAATGATTATAAATGAAATTATGGTAACACTTTAGAATAGGGAACACGTTCACTATTAACTAAGAGTTTTCCCTGAACAAACTCCTAAGTTGCTGCTTATTAATAGTTAGTAAGTTAGTTGTTAAGTTTATGTACGGGGTGGATTAAGGAGTCTAAAATACGGTCATGCAGAAAAAGACATTAATATGTGCTTTATAAGTACTAATAAACAGCCAATATGCTAGCAATATGCATGATAATAAGCAAGTAATTAATAGTGAGAATTGGTCTTTAAAATAAAGTGTTACGAAAATTATTAAATGAATGGTTAGGAAAAATTTAAATAAAACAATTAGGAAACTAAAACAAATTCAGGGTTGCTCTCTTGAAGCTGCAACACACACGGGTTGCTATTACGAATCCTCAGATCTTTCAGTTTGCCCCACATGGAAAGCATATTTGCACTGTCTGAATCCTTTCTATAGTGCACTATGTTCCATTCATCATATTGAAAATAGTGAATGTGTGATCAAGTGACCGATTTCAGATGCAGCTTTAGAGTCTTTTTTTATAATGTACTGTAGAAGGAAACGGCATGCTTTTATTTTAGATTGTTCTGTGAATAAGTAGTCTAAAAGGGGGGTTATGCCTTATCTATTCCATTAGTTTATATTATTAATAAAGCACTAACCCAAACTCAGAACTGCATCTTGTTTTGTGTAATCTCTCCATGGAGCTGGAATCTCGCCACGACCCTGGAATGTTTTTTTATAATGCTTTTCCAGCTCTTTCTGGAATCTGCCCACAAACCACTTCCAGTAGGACACTTTAGAGAGATCAGGCATGATACACCAGTCTGCATAAACTCCACCTGCGCTTCTGTATTCTCTCCAGCGGACTGACTTATCTGAGTCTTTAGGATAAAAACCCCCATCACTTGCTACTGCTGATGTGCAGATGCTAATAGACAAGTTTGTTGTTCCTCTGTAAAACCACCCATTCATTCCAATATTACGATGGGAAGTAGCATTGTGCTCTTCATCATGGTTTTCAATAGTGTTTGTGCAGGTGACTCCACAGAATGGACACTGAACCCAACAGCACCGACAGAAGTGATCAATCAGAAGCTCTTCTGGTCTAAATGTGAGGTCCAGATTTACTGAAAATGACTCTCTGTTGAATCTCCTGCTGATGTCAGACATTATTTTAGGAAGTTGATCTCTTATCACTTTTTCCAGGAGGTTGAAATCATCCACATCATCATGTTTGACTCCACTGAGGTCTTTTTCAGAGAAGATCAGCTCATCTGAGAGCTGCTGTGTGAAACTCTTCAACCACAAACCAGCATCTCCTCTGTTCTTATGAACATGTTCAGTGGATTCATGTGCTGCTTCCATGATCTTCTGCTGCAGGAGTTTAATGTTCTTCTTCATCTTGGGTAAAACACTGACACTGAACTTATCGTTGATGTACCAACTAACTTCATCTCTGATGAAACCACTGAAGTGATCTCTGGGAGTTTTAATGTAGTTCGTGTACTTGTTAAAATCCTCCTCTTCTGCCAGTGCCTTCAGGATGTGTTTCTCCAGATTGGATCTGTTTCCATTCAGTGATGGACAGTTTGATTTCATTTCATCTGTCAGATCTCTGGCAGTCTTCTTGTAGATGCTCTGCTCAACGGGCTCTTTCAGTTTCTGACAGATGATCTCACCAAAAATAACAGCTGATGCGGCTCCACGACAGTATTTCTGGAAAATACTATAGTACCCTTCTCTCTTCTTCTCAACATATATGTCAGGATCATTGGCTTCCCTGAACAGTCTGTGTTGGTCAGTGATCGTCTTGTTTTCTTTCTTACAGATGGAAAGAACCAAATCCATGAAGAATTCATTCTTGAACACATATTTCACTGGTCCTTCCTCATGTTGTGTTATTCTTGCCTTGATGTAATCTGTGAGTTGTTGAATGCAGCTGGTGTTGTAGCCCATTTTCGAGATGTTAAATGACTGAATCATTTTGTCTGTCCCCAGAACAACATCTGTGACAAATGATCTTATTTGGGCTTCATCCTCTGGAGACAGAATATAACCCAACTTCTCTTTAGCTGATCTGTAAACATTTCTTAAAGCTTTTGTATATCCACTGGATTTCTTTAACTGTATATAATCTGAATAATTTGACACAGTGAAAATACCCCTGCTCTCCCTCCAGTGATCAGCAGGAACACTTCTATAGACGTCACTGAGGATTTCTCTCACGTCTCTCATTATGTCAATCTCTTTGATTGGAGGAGTGTCTCTGATGATCTTCTTCACACTCTGTTCCCAAAACAAATCAAACTCTTTCTTCAGTGTTTCTTCATCTTTTGTTTTGTCTTTGAGTTTCAAGGCAAGTTCTTTGCTCTTTTCCAAGAGAGTGTTTTCATGGTTTGTCCTCTGAGCATCAATCTTTTTCCTCAGGTCTCGCTGCTGAAGAACCTCATTTAATTTTCTCTTTGTTTCTCTCACAATGTTTTCCTGAAGCTCTTTGATTTTGATTTCAAATGATGTTTTCCACTGAATCAGTATATCTTTATCTTTGTCTTTCTCAAAGAATTCAGATATTGATTTTTTCACTTCTTCACTTGTCTTCTTCAGTTCTCTTTGAAGGTCAGTTTCATCAATCTCATTAATCGCTTCATTTTCTATTTTGTTGTATAGTTTGTTCTCAGTCTCCATCATAGCTCTGCGAAGACTCCAGGTCCACTTGCTGTATTCAGTCTCTAGTTTCCTGTAAGCTGAGATCTCCAGAGAATTTCTGAAGCTGAAGACGAATCGTTCATTCAGTAAAGCCTCCCAGAGATCTTTAATACGATCTTTTAGATTTGTCAGCATCGTTCTGTGTGATTTTGAGGCATGAGACATGATAGTTTCCTTCAGTTCTTGAATATTCTCACAGTACTTTTGGTTTGGTGGTGCCATCGGTGGGTTTCCCTCCCAGAGCTGAGCGAAATACTTCACATCTTTCTGAACATCAAATCTAATGATATCACTGAAACGTTCTGCATCACAGACTTCCTCTTTAGCAGCGAGTTTTGTCATCTCATCCAGTTTCTCCTGCAGTCGTCTCCTTCCCTCCATGTTTTTCTCTCCAGCTGTGATGTCTGAAACGTTCTGATGCACAAACACACAGCTGGGAGACAGATTTACCTTCTTCATCCTCATGAAGGCCTGAACAACAATCTGAAGAATCTCCTGTATGTCTGATGGGTTTTCTCAAAAGATGTTTATCAATCATCATTCATTGTCATGCTGTCTTGTTGATCTTCCAGACAGTTCTAGAGCTCGGAGACCTTCAGTGTCAACAACCAGAATATAGTCAAAGTTCATCTGTGTTTTCATTTCGCCTGACCCACTTTTCATCTGTGTTTTCATCTCATCTGACACCTTGACCAGCTGCATGAAAGCTCCTCTGGTGCACCTGCCAGCACTGACGGCAAACTGCAGTCCAAACATGGCGTTCAGCATGGTGGATTTCCCAGAGCTCTGGATCCCTAAAACTGACAGCACAAATACCCTCTGGTCTCCCAGTATCTGGACGAGTTCATCTAGAACAGCAGAGATCCAGATCACAGGAACATGAGAAGCATCTCCATCCATCAGCTCCAGTGGAGATCCAGAGATCATCATCTGTGCTGCAAAACTTGGGAGAGAAGAGAAGTGCAGGTCTTCCTTGTTCTCATTAACAGATGAACATGATTCATAGATCTGACCGATCTCCCTCATGATGTGCTCCAAACCAAAGGCTGCGGCTTGAAGATCCTCAGATATTCTTTCAAGTTCAGTTTGTTCTGCTTTGAGTTTTTGAGGCTTGATTTGTTCAGATTTATCATTGTTCTCTTTCAGTTTTAAGACTGTAGACCACGTGTTATCATACTTGTGATGTAAAGCAGAAAGATCAGCTGATGTGTGTTCATCCAGGAGGATTCTGAGCCATTTAAGGAAAAACAACTTTTCACATTCAGCATTTGAGATCATTTCTTTAATAAAGAGCTTCATAAATTGACTTATTTTAGTTCCATGCTGCTGTTTACGGATTGTATTCATTTCTGTGTGTTTTTTACTTATTTCCATTTCGGTCTCATCTCCTCGAGGTTGATGTAGTTCTTTGTTCTTCTGACTCCACTGATGCCACAGTTTCCCCTGATGAGGCAGAAATGATTCTTTGATTTCTGTCAGATCTTTCTTCTCCAGTAAACTCACCATATGCTGTGCTGCTTCTCTTCCTCTCCTGCAGTCATCGTCATCTTCCTCATCTACTCTGATGTCTGGGAGTTTGGACACATCTTCTAGTCTGAAAGTGTGAGATGATTCTGAGAGACAATCATTTATAGCTCTTCTGATTTCTTCAGACACTTCTGACTGATTTCTGTCTTTCAGACCAATCTTGAATTTCCCTTTCTTCGGCTCAGTTACAGCAGATTCATCCTCAGTAAAGAGACACATGAGTGGCTTTCTGTTCCTATACAGGTTTTGGATCTTTGCTGCATGTTTGTCATTCCTGTCCAGTCGTGGCAGAAGAACAACATTGACTGAGCTCATTTCAGTGAGGATCTGCAGCTGTTTCTCGTGGTCTCCTGCATCACCGTGTAGATTACAGAACGCAACACACTCACTGAATTTATCATCATATGATCCAGAGGAGCAGAACCAGGCGATCTCCACCACTCCATCCATCAGTTCTCTGGTTCTGCTGCTGCCTGGGCAGTTCCTGTGGAAGAACGTGTTGTGTTTCTCATTGATCAGACTGTTCATCAGCTGAGACTTGGATGAAGACACGGAGCCAAACCTGAAGAAAAACACCATTGGAGTTTGTGCTCTGTAGATCGGCTGGGTTTGACTGATGGCTTCATTGTTGGTGTTTCTCATCTTCCAGCTCTTGCTGATTTGTCTGAATGTCCAGAGAGGAAACTCAATCTGTTGTGTGTCTGGATCAGGAACAAGCAGAGGCAGAGCGTACTGACACTGAGACAGTTTAGTGACCATCAGCTGCTTCAGGAAACCATCAGCACAATGAAACACGGCCATCTGAACATCCATCGGGTGAATGAGGTCAGATTTACTTGTTTTTGATAAAGATACCTCAAAAACATCAAAAATATCACTCTCATCTTCAGATAAGTCACTGTGTCTTTGATATGTGTAATCATACTTATCGGTCTGTTTAATGTATCTTGCTCTGTAGTTCATCATCAGTAGTTTTTGTATGAAAGTCTGAATCAGCTCATCTTCAGCACAAGACTCACAAGACTGTAATGAATGCTCAGTTATCTGAAGAACATCTGCAGTTCTCAGTTTATTGTGGTGCCTGTCTTCAAGATGAAGTCTGTGAAATAGATCCTCTTGTTTAGTCTCTTGTTGTGGGTATTGATCTGATCTGAGTCCTGTTCTGAAGTCCTTGATTTTGCCCTGTTGAATAAAAAGAAACCATTATATTTCCATTGATTATTTACTTTGGTTGTAATAATACTATCATTCTAGTCTGGCCTTTCTTACATTTTTAGAAGGACGCCCAAGTGAATTTGATATGTTGTAACAGTGAGTAACTTTGTTTAGTAAGACTATTAAATCATAGTAAACGTTGCTGATCAAAAATAAATAAATATATAACATTGTTTTCCATCAATACAGAAATGTAAAAGGTAAAATAGGGAGTAGATGGTTTTATTAATGCAGTGAATACTAGTAAAATGTCCAGGTGCTCACCACGTGTTGTTCTCCAGTCTCTAGTCTTGTGCTGCACCCTTTTCTTGTGGGTTGATCATCTTAAAAAAGCAGAAAGAATAGAGATGCACTTTGAAAGAATGCCTTAAAAATTACATATATACAATAACAAAAAGAAAGACAAATGAAACATGTCTTCAGTTATTGTACTAATTAACGTTGTTTTAACAGTTAACAACATAACTTTAAACTCTCTGAAAAAACAATCCAGTAATCATACCAATTATTTTGACATGACAAAATAAATGCCTAAACAACGAATGGTTAATTTTGTCTAAAATGTACATTTTTAGTTTGTTTATTTCTCCAAAAAAAAAAAAAAAATGTAACTAACATATATTTTAAACCCTTGCGTGTCTTCGGGGTCTTTTTGACCCGCAAATGACGTTTGCTAAAATAAAAATAAATAAATTTAAAAAGTTATCTTTGTCCAAATTGCATGAGACTTTGTACAGTGGTCAACACTTTCTATATATAAAAAAAAAATGGAATGATATATTATTTTTATGTTAGTGTGAAAAAAAGAGTCACACTCATGGTCTTTGGGGGTCAAAATTTGTAAAATTTTGTAACAAAATAATTATTAAAAAAATGTCAATTTTGTACAAATGTCATTTTACTCTGTTTATTAATGTTTTTACTCCACATTTGTGCAGTTTTTGGAGGATTTATGACATTTTTTATATTTATAAAAACATAAAAAAAAATATTTGTTCAAATAGGTTTTTATACAAAAACAGGTTTTTATGTAAAATTCACTTTATAAAAGACTTTATTAAAGGCCCACATTTCTAACTTTCATTCATAGGCATAACATAGATAATTTTACATGGTTTAGTGTCAGATTTTTGCCCATCTTTTGGAAAACGGGAGTTAAAAATATAATAATAATTGCAGAGCTCCACTATTTGCTATTTGACTAACTGAAAGATATCTTTTCTCAAGGTTTTTTTTTTCAGTTGGATTCATATGTACATATTCTGAAATCACAATTAGAACAATAAAAATGACTTTGTCAAAGTTTTTGAATTTTTTTGTACTGAAAAATAAAAAAAGAATTTCAATAATGTTACAGTATTATAGAATCAAACCTGAATGTTACAAGTAGAAAAGTTGGAGTCTTTAGAGTTTATCATTTATTTCAATCATCTGTTTTTCATATAATCCCACAAATTTAATCTACACTTCAGTTACTTACTGTAAGAAAACAAAAATTCACAGAAATGAACAGTTATATATTACATATTGAGTACCAATACACGACATGAACCATTTTGTGGTGGTTTTGCATTTTGGAAAAAGTAGGTTTTCAGCATAAATCAAAATGGCCGACAGGAAGTTCAGCTTACTATGGCATAATTGGTATGTTTGTTGTCGGCATGACCTACGGAATATTGTGAGTGCAGTTTCATTACAATAGGTTAATGCAATCAAAAGCTATTACCATTTTTGTACATTTCATAATCAATAATTAATGAATGTTAAATACTCTTGACCAATAGGTGGTGCTGTTACCAAATTGATGTGGCGTGGTCAGTGTGAGGTAACAATGGCACATACAACGTTTGGTGCAAATATGTCAAAGCTTTGCAGAGATACAGCCTCAGATGCATTTTGGCATCTTTCCAGCAAATTCGTTGATGCGCTAAACGAAAACGGTTTTGTATATCGACACGAAATCCATAACTTTTTGCCAGCTTGGTCTGAAGATGATCCGAGTCAAATTTGGTAAAAATTGGACTAACGGTCTAGGAGGAGTTCGAAAAAGTAGGTTTTCAACATGAATCAAAATGGCCGACAGGAAGTTCAGCCAATTATGGCAAAATTGGTATTGGTGTTCTTGGTATGATCCAAGGAACCTATCAACATCAGTTGTATTACAATATGATAATCTATGCAAAAGTTATTAGCATTTTTATAAATTGCTTTATAACTGTTGATCACAAGGTGGCGATGCGCCCAAACTTGTTGAGTACCATGAGGGCATGGTGCCGAAGACGCATACCGAGTTTTGTAACGATAGGTCTAAGCGTTCGTAAAATATATAATTTTTTGGCAAAATTCTAACTGGCCGACGCCCAAAATGGCTGACATGGGAAAATTGGGTATCATTCGACTCGGCATAATCCACCTAATCTAAAGAGACCCGTTTTGTGATCTTTGGCCAAACCATTCAGAAGTTATAAGCAAAAATATGCATTTTTCATATCTCCTGACCACTAAGTGGCACAGCGCCGAACACTTGCTTTTCAACTGCTTTTCGTAGAATGTGTTCGCGTGTTATACGAGCACAGTTTGAACGAATCAACTTGAATTCCATAACTTTTTGCCAGCATGGTCTGAAGATGATCGGAGCCAATTTTGCTGAGAATCAGACAAACCGTCCAGGACCAGTTCGAAAAAAAGTAGGTTCTTCGAAAAATTTTAAATAGCAAAAAAACTAAACCTTAAACTAAACCACAGTTTTTAAATTTTGGGGTTTGTTCGACTCGTCATGAGCCAAGGATTCAAAGAAAAATTATTTCCGATCTGTGCCATACGGTTCAAAAGTTATTAGCATAAACATGACTGAAACTTTGGACAAGTGGTGGCACTAGAGAGTTTGATTTAGAGACTCCAAATTTGCTGTGGTTAATGTTGGGACTGTCCTCTATCAGTGTGCCAAATTTCACAACTTTCCTGCAAGCGGTTCTATGGGCTGCCATAGACTCAAGAGCGGAAGAAGAAGAAGAACGTATACAATAGGTGCCATTGCACCTTCGGTGCTTGGCCCCTAATAATAAGAAATCTAACGGATACAATAGGTGCCTCATTAATTAATTCATTCATTCAATAGGTGCCTATGCACCTTCGGTGCTTGGCCCCTAAATACAGAAAATAATGCATATAGGAAAAGTCATAAAAATAAATTGATTATAGTTTTGTTCACTTAAGACCAAAATTAAGAAATGCTGTTGGTTGATAGTGTGTGTAACACTGCTCTTGTTTATTTTATTTATTATATTATTTATTTTATTTATGTAAGTTTTCGTGCACTAAAACTTTTTTCATTCAAAAGTTTATTTGACAAAGTCTAGATTTTTGATGACCTGTTTTGTGTATTTAATATTTAACGCATAAATTTTTTTATTTAAATTATACAAGTGCACTGATTGGAGGGGCTTGTGTTGTTCAATAAATGTTTAATTTAAGCACTTTTCTGTATCACTTCTTATTACTTAACTGTTCGATTTTATGAGATGAAGGGGGAAAAAAGTAAAAGAAAATCGGCATTATATCGGCCATCGGCTACCCTGATTTCTAACTATCGGCCAGAGAAAAACCCATATTGAGCGACCTCTAGTAACTTTACCATAGATAATAATGATGTCCTTTAGCATACAGTGTTCTGACTGAGGATAATAATGGGATGCTACTGATAGGCAATCATTTGCTAGCAGTTTAATACTTAACCAAGTTAACAAAGACAAAACTACAATAGTCTATTTACAGATGAAACTGACCTGCACTTGAAGCCCTGAACAGGTTTTGCTTCATTTCGAGTCCAGCGCATTGATTACTATTCGAAATCGTCTGACGGGAGCGCGCAACAGACGAGCCGATTCATATAGCGCTGCCAGTCAAGAATAACCGATTCATGATTTATTTTAGAGTAATTATCAAATGTCGAATACTGAAATGATCACTTTGGTACGCTGGGCAGGCAATATTATAAAATAATAATAATAATGACAAATAATAAATAGGCCTAAATAAATAAAAACAGGCCAGCGGGCCACCTGGAATTCTCCCGGTGCATTTGGTTTAAATGAACAGTGTTATGTTTGGAAAAAGAAAACACTGCTCATTTAAACCAAAATGTGTTACAAAGAGGATTTTTTCCCCCAATTATTTATAATAAAAACTCACCTATTGTGTCAGGGTATGTTGTCGGCCTATATATTTTTGTAAGCAGCTCTTGAACTTGTGGAGTATCTCCTGTTTTCTTGTTGTTGAACACATGGTATCTCTGATCATATTTCTGTACGAGTTTCTTCAGTGCTTCAGTTTCATTGATGAATTTTTCTATTGTCCCTTTTCCTTCCTCCAGTTTGTCTATTCCAGTGAAGAGAATCCAGGTTTTCTTCAAGTGTTTTTCGCCCAGCAGTTTTTCAATCTTCTCCACAGTTTTTCTCTCTTTTTTAGTGAATCTGCCAACTTTGATGACCAGCAGAAACACACAGGGACCTGATTCACATTTCCGCAGAACATTTGCATGTATTTGTTGAATTTCTTCTTCACTCAAAGTTGTGTTAAATAATCCTGGTGTGTCATAAACAGTGACCAGTTGTCCACAGACAGTCCCAGATTGAACAACTATGTCTTGTGTGACAGAAGTGAAACTTTCTTTTGATTCAAAAGCTTGTCGTCCCAGAATCGTGTTTCCTGATGCACTTTTCCCAGCTCCTATTTTTCCCAGTAACACCAAATTCAGAATGTTTGTCTTTTCTGCCATTTTCAACAAGTGGCCTTGGGCTAGAAACACAAAGGAAAAATTAACACACAACATCTTACAGGCATTTAATTCAGTATATAGTACATGATGATGCTTCTGTAAGGACCACCTACTGAGACGGTTTAAAATACTGTAGAGTGGCTGAAGGCATTTTGTGTTGTTTTGTCTTTTCTTGGTGCTTCATTGCATCTGATTCCATTATTAGTGTAGTCAGCAGTTGCAGGATTTACTAATATTACTAATAATTCAGTTGCATACTGCTCGCTCATAACTGAGTGATAGTTTAAGTGAGTAAGTGAGTGTAAGTAACCCATTTTCTGAATTTGTGCTCTGCATTTATCTCATCCAAGTGCGCGCACACACAGCAGTGAGTAGGGAACATACGGGAAAACACACACCGTGAACACACCCGGAGCAGTGGGCAGAAATATAAATTAATATTTTATTAGCATTTTACAATATTTTGATCATGAAACCTATTCTAAAACGTATGTTAAAATTGAATTATCATCATTATCATTACCAACAATAAAACTAGATTTCGCTACGTTACCACGCTGAATCAATTCCCATTGGTTGTTTTTTAGCCGGCATATAGGCAATTTCTACATGCCGACTGGGATATATATAGCATGTCAAAATAGATGCGTGCAATGTAAATGCAGACAAATAGATTACTAGAAGAAAATTATTCTTAACATGTTTCTTTTAATTCTCTTCCAGTTATTTGTAAAGGTAATGACTTGTGAATAATCTTAAATGTCTCACTGTAAATTGCTATTCTGGTGGAGCCGTTGCTTACACATCACATCTGCAATTTATTAGATCTCATTTCAGATACTCAGTAATTTGATTCTTAATTCTCCATCTCACAGTAAAATTAAAATGTTAAGTTTTTAGTAAACTTGAAGCTCAAGTAAATATTTAATTGTCCATTTCACAGAAAAATTTAAATGTGAATTTTAAATAAACTTGTTGCTCAAGTTCAGGTAAATGTTTAATTGTCCATCTGATTAGTAAAATTTAAATGACTCTGCAAATCCATTAAAATAATTTACAACAGCTAATGAATTGTGATTTTTAATCGCAACATGTTTGTTATGATGCATAAATGTCCATTTTAACAATGAAAAGTAACATACGCGCCAGCCAAAGAGTAAAAAGCTCATTCAAATTTAGAAGTTGTTCACGTGATATGCTAAATATTCTAATCACACCAGTGTGATTGTATGCGTCAAAGGGTTAATTGAAATATTCTGACCGTTTGAGTCAGGACTCCACTTTCATTCAAATTAACTGGTCATCTGTAGTATCACACATTTAGATCATGATAACCAGAGTTAAAACTATGCATATAACTCCTCACTACCATAGTGAAATGTAACTATATGGTTTATTTAGTTATGAAAAACAGTATCCTAATTGCATTTAGTATAAACACAAATGCACAAATGCTCTAGCTTAATAACAAAAATACTGTAATTATATTCCATTACTCCTTTATGTCTACATTGATAATATAATGAAATTAAAAAGTCTGCTTTTGTGATATATATCATTCTTTCTTTACTGCAAGACGTTTGCTCAGTCTAGGGGGAAGTCGTGGCCTAATGGTTTGAGAGTCGGACTCATAACCCAAAGGTTGCAGGTTCGAGTCTCGTACCGACAGAAAGCGGGTTATTGCAATTACATGCCATGCAAAATCAGAGTAAGAGGTTTGCGACCGGTTTATGCTTACGCCATTTATGATCTTACTCCGATAAAAGAAAATGGGTAAAATAAAATGAAAAAGTGCATTTTCAGCTTATTAATCTGCTTAAGAACGTGCATGTAAACGCACTCAGTGACTTGCTGCCAGCTACTGGCAGTTTTAATTTCACATTTAAAGTATCTTTTTTTTTTATTTTTTTTATAATTTTAAATATCAGTATTCACCGTTTTATGTTTAAAATATCAAAACAGTATTAATGCATTTGTAACTGCAGGTTCAATACATTCATGTCCTATATTAAACAGTGTGTAAATGCATCTAAATGCTCCTTCTAATGCAGCTTCTGTGTTTCCTCTGCATTGCAAAGATGAATTTTGTCAACACTTATTTAATTTGCTTGGTAACAGCCCAAATCAGTTATTATTCTAACTGACTGATTCAATTTAAGAATTTAACTAAAAAAAGATGATGCACACTTTAGAAATGGCTTTATAAAGGTAAAAATGCCCATAAAAGGTAAACATCTATTTAAACTTATTGGAAAAGGTTAATTTCTATCACTGCTGTGAACTGACCACCACACAGAATATGAAGAATATCAAAAACTTTAGGAGTCAGCTGTCCACGGCAGTCCTTAAGATATCAGCACAATAACACACTCAGCAAAATAGCATCTAATTATCGTTATCGGTAAAATACCAGAAAATATTGAGATATATTTGTTGTCAATATCGCACACCCCTAATATATTTAACATTTTGATTAGAAAAAAATTAATAAATCTGAGAAGTGCCCTTTGAGCCCCTGCCCCTCAAAATGTCTGTGCACGTCCCTGTTGCCTAGTACTTCTGCCTCCATCCACCTTTTTCCCGACAAGCCTACTGTGTGGCTACTGTGTTTTAGATTATGGGAGGTGCTTCCAGTTTGGGGAACTTCCACTGAAACCATTCATTTAAATCATAAGGTTGCACTACAAATAATCCTTATTGTTCAGTTTGACTGAATGAGCTGTTAGTTTTCCTTAATGTTTTATTTTCAGGTGCCATAAGGATAACTTAACGCTTGGAATTTTAAAGGGGACCTATTATGCAAAAATCACTTTTATAAGGTGTTTTAACACAGGTGTGTGGCCGCAGTGTGTGAAAACAACCAGCCTATTAAGGTAAAATGCACCCAGTCATTTTTTTAATAATCCAAATAAATCATAAACAGTCTCTCCAAATAAGCAGATTTCTCCCTATAAAGACATCATACTCAGGGGAAAGTCCCGCCCATTTGTGATGCTCTCTGCCCTATTAGCATAGACCCCGCCCTGAGTGAGAAGCAGCAGTCCGCCATTACTGTTTTCTTGCTGTAGCTGCTGGAGATGCAATGTCTGCGCCACAGAGGCATAACACATGTTGTGTGTCGGGATGCACCAGCGAACATGGGAGTCATATTTTGTTTTCCAAATTGCCTTTCTGAAAGAGCTTCTTGGGTCTCTGTAAGGCTAATGTTGCTAAAGCTACCATTGCCTCTGCCTGTTTTCACTGATGCTGCCTTCACTGAAAGAGCTTCTGTAAGGCTAATGTTGCTAAAGCTACCATTGCCTCTGCCTGTTTTCCCTGATGCTGCCTCCACGTGCAACCAGAATGATCGTAAATAGGAACGGGGTAGTTAAAAATTGCATATGAAAGCAATGTGAAGTCGAGCGCTTGAATTTGTCGAGCTCATAATGTGATAGCATGCGAAGGCACCATGAGACCAGCTA